GCTATCGTACCTAAAACCAGACCAATCTTTTTAATCAGGGGGGCGTAGGTTTTAGTGGCTTAGTATCTCAATTTAATTTTTCCTTTTCCCTTTCAAACAGAGAGGCCTGTGTCCTGTGTTATGCAGATCCATGGGAGAATTCCTGTAGGAGGAAGAGGCTGAAACTCTGGTCTAGGGTTATTAAACAGAGCATTCATCATAATGTGTCAATACCATGTCTGAAAAATTTGCATGATTCTCTATCACAAACGCATTGTTCACATTTTATTAGAGAAAAATATTCTGATATTTTTCTCTAACAGAATTATTGTGTGTGTGTGTGTGTGTATTTTTGTAATTATCTTAAGCCCCTTAATTTTATTGTGGGAACTAAGGCCCAGAAAAGTTGAATAACTTGCCTTCCTCAGCATGAACAGAGATAGGCTGTTTTTAGGAGTTAGAACCTCTCCTAACACTTGACTTTAGGTATGTGTTTAAAAGACAGTTGGATATGGTTAGGAGCTCAGTAGTTTAAGCGGTGAAGCAGTTTATGACACATGCTTGACCAAATGAAGTTATTTTCCCTGGCTCATGCCATACTGACAGCATGCAAACACTGTGTGCACCTTTCTTCTTTCCTCATAAAAAAATGGCTACAGTTATTTAAAAATATATATTTTTATTGATTTTTAGAGAGAGAGAGAGAAAGAGAAACATCAGTTTGAAAGTGAAACATTGATCTGCTGCCTTCTGCACCCTTCCTACCATGGATTGAGCCGGCAACCCATGCATGTGCCCTGACGGGGAATCAAACTGGCCACCGTTCAGTGCATGGGACGACACCCAGCCAACTGAGTCTCACCAGCCAGGGCCTACAGTTATTTTTAAACCTGGGATTTAAAGGAGGGAATACAGATTGTAAGTCTAGGTCAGTTGAATTTATTCAGGAATTTGTCAGACTGAATATGAACTTTCTGGAGTGTAAGTGAAACAAAAATGAGGTTTTTAAGTGATCTGTTTCTCTTTCTCTCCTTATCTATTTCTGTCTACAGTTTCATCCTAGGCTAGTCCCCAAAGGAGAAAAAGTAAACTATTCTTTCTATTACATCATGCAGTGGTTGACTAAAATGATTATAGAGTGGCAACATTTAAAAAATGTATTTAATAGTTTATTGATTTTTAGAGAGAGGAAGGAAGAGAGAAACATGGATATGAGAGCAAAATATCAACTGGCTGCTTCCTGCATGTCCCCAACTGGGGATTGAACCCTCAACCCAGTCATGTGCCCTGACTGGGAATCAAACCGACAACCTACTGGTGCACAGGATGATGTCCAAGCAACGAAGCTACCCCGGCCAGGGCAAGAGTGGCAACTTTAATGATCATTCTTTTGTAAGACTGTTTAATAACAAAACAATAATAAGTCAAACAAATATCAGCACAAAGAAAATCTATATTCTGTCTATCAAAACGTTTGTCAAACTTGCACCAATGAGCCACATATTTAAAAAAGAGCTGATACTGAGAAACATTTCTGATCGTTCTTTGAAGTTTGTAGTAACAGGATATAACATGTCTGCTACCACCTTTTTGTTTAGGCCCCAAATGAGATGTGTCTGAATGTTAGAATTTTGTATATCTTCAGGATAAACATTCAATTATATCTTTCCCTTTTTGTTTTTTCTAATAAAATAGAATAATGAAAAAAAAAAAAACACCCCATGTATAATGGGTTTTTCTGGGTTCTGCTATTTGTTGAACAAAATGCTTTCTAGATAATTTCTAGTGACAAGTCATCACCCTCCTTATTTTACGTAATGAGGAAACTTAAATACTGAGGGCTTCAAGTATAAAACTACAGAGGTCTTTATACAGAGGTGTGACTATACAGAGTCACACAAAAATTGAGGAAATGCTCCATGGCAATAATCCTATCTGCAGTTTAGATGTGCACCCTACTTACTTTGAAAAATCAACATAATGCCTATTAGTAGCATTATTTTACTACATACAACCTTCCTGTTTTAGAATCAAAGAGTGCTATGTTTATGCAAGACCAGGAATGCCTGGCCTGCCTATTCAAAAGCTTTCATCTTTCTTCTCCGTTGGAGATAGGTTTCGTCACCTGCAGCCACTAGATGGTGCTTGTCATTGTAACAAAGATTCTTCCCATCTTTCTATTTTCTTTAGGCACCTGTTGGACCTTAGAGGATATGAGAAACCTGATTGATAAGCTAAGTAGTGGGTGGGTTCTACAAGGTCATTTAGCACAGAGAGTTATTGATTAAAAAAATAAATAAATCATTATCAGTGAAGATTACTTATGCTGTTTTTCTAATGTCATTAATTTTTTCTCTTCATTCATCTTGTCACCAAGCTGTGTGAACCACAAGACAAAAAGAACAAATAAATCTTTCTTTGGGCTCATGAAAATCAAGCGACATAACTCAAATTTTAGAATAGGTGAGAAAAAGGTCTCAGGATTTATTGTCCTCACCAGGAATGGCATTAGCAAAGGTGACCACATGCAGAGTTAACAAGAAAAGTTAATCAATGACCTTTCAAAGGAAAAACACATGCATCTCAATTACTGGACAATAATCAATAGAAAAGAAAATGGAACATGTTCTTTTAATTGTGGGATAGCAAACATCAAGTAATGAGAATGATAACAGTGGTTGTTGGCTCTTTGCCAAAGACAGTGATTTTTCTCATTAATTTAAAACACATTCAAAACTTCACCCCATAATGCTCTAATTCCCTCCCTGCTTCCCACTCCACACCAACTTTATACCCCTTTCAGGGTAAAATTTTGCCAACTTTTATAGCAAAATGCCTTCAGGGTTACCTATTTGTTATGTGTGAAGGACAGTTTGATATATTTTGCAGAGAGTACTGGATGGCATACGTTTCTTGGACTTTTCCTTTCCTAAACATTCTCCAGTGCTGACCAGTTATGGCTGGTTCATAATTATAACGAGAAATTGCCAGCTATGTTGAAATACATAATCCACAGTGTGAAAACTGCTGAACAGCAGTGGCAAATTCTTAATACAAAAGTGGCTTTTGCCTGTGAGCTTGCTTTGGGGTTGCTGATTCTTGCTAACTCTGTGCTCAGGGACTGAAAGTTAATTTTAACATTAGTCTAAAAACAAAATATAACTATGTAGGCAAAAGCTTTAAAGCTACATTAAGAAATATTCTGTTTTGAATCTCCCATGTCACTGCAGTGAGTCATGAAAAATGTGTGAACATACATGTTAGCCAGATGTAACAACAAACAGCCTGATACACGACATTAGTACATTTTAATCTCAGACATTAGACAGCGTTGGGCGGTTCCCAGTGCCTTCTGAGCATTAACCAAGGATTTTAAACATGCCAGCATTAAAAAAAGATACATACTTATACCTGCTTCTCAAGCACTAGTGAGTGAGGTACAATGGATCTCTTCCAGTTTTAAAAACTGGAAAGGAAAGCCTCTGTCCCCAAATTATTTTCTTCCAGATTAAAAAATTTTTTTGGTAGAGGTCTTACTAGTTGTAGCTTAGTACCGAAGAAAGATTTGGAACCAGGAGAGGTAGTATGTGATATTATTTATCTTGGCCTTTATGTGTTTTGGCGGTACTGTTGAAAATGCTGTTTGGTCATTGACTTCTGGACTTACATATATCAATAAAATTGGAAATGCGTCTATGCTATGTGGTTCAAATCCATTAAATGACTATTCTCCTGCAGTGTTCGCATTGGATGATGCCTGTGTTGACAGTCTGTTCATATGGTTCAATGTTTACTTAACTGATCCTAATCAGGCTAGGTCATTGATATATTATTAGTATTATTTGCTTGGCAAAGAGTACTCAAACCTCCTTAATTAGCTGCAGGGACCATAGTAAAGGTAGATCATCACTTTGTACTCCCCAGAAACTCCTTTGGATGTCTAAAAACGTTTCCCAAATGCTCAAGCAAGACAGGAGCTATCAGCGACATAGCGAAGCACAGGTTGAGAACGATGCTCTTCCCAGACATCCTTTGCTAAAGGTGAACGACGACAATACTGTGTTCAAGCAGCCCTCTCCTCACCTACACTCCTTAAGTTTTATAAAGTAGCTTCAGGAGTGGTTGGGGGCTGGGAAACGTGAGCAACTTCAGTTCTGCAGGCGAACATACGCTCTCCCCAGAGGGGAACACTCGTGAATAGGACAGGAAGCTGTGACTAGCGGCCCGCTCAGGACCTGAGGGAGAAGGAACCGAGGCCGGCGAGGGCGCCGGTCGGGAGCTCGTCCCCGCCAGCTCCAGGCGCTGCGCTCAGAGCCCGAGCCCCCGCGGAGGCGGTGCGGCCCGAGGCCCCTCCCCGTCGCCGCTGATGCCCGGGCTGCTGACGCCCAGCGGCGGCCCTGAGCGGCAGGGGCCGGGCGGGTGCGAGCGAGGGCAGGGCAGGGGGCTGGCCGAGGCCACTGGCGGCTTTAAATATGGATCGCGGGCTCGCGCTCGTGGCACAGCCTCCGCCACGGCCGCCTTCCCCGACTCCCCGTCCGTCCCCTGGCTGGCTCCCGAGGGGCGCCCGGGCCGCGCACTGCTGCAGTGTTAGTCGCTGGCAGAAACAGCGGAGAGCCCCATAAAAATGCAGGCGCTGCACACGGCAAAGTAGAGTAGCCGCTTTCAAACGCCCGCCCGCCGCGCACCACGCGGGCGGTGTAGACATCTCCCCCGCGCCCCCTTCTGCCCCGTTCTCGCGGGCCGCTCAGGTGCCGGTCCTGCCGGCTCCGAAGACGCTCCCGCCCCAGCGCCCTCGACCGGCTCTCGCCTCCCTGCACCCGGAGCCCGCACCCACCCAGGAGGCAAAGTTGTGACTACTTGGACGCGGGTGGCTCGCTCCGCGCCTCGCGCCGACAACTTCTCGCGGCCCGGCCCCGCCGCGCCCCGGTCCCGCGCTCCCGGGATCCCGCGGGCCCCCCGCCCTCGCCCGGCGGCGCGCCGGGCAGCGCTTCGGTGGCGGCTACGGCTGCGGTGGCAGCGAAGGCGGCGGCGGCGGCAGTGGCCGCTGCAGCCCCACACTCCACCGCCAAACTGGAAGAGCGACGGAAGCCGGACCCCAGGAGGTGAGCCCCGGGGGGCGGCAGAGAGGGTCGGAGGGTCTGGGAGGGCGCGCTCCCGGGAGGCAGGGAGAGGTCAGTAGCGGGCGGGCATCCCCTGGGCTGGGCACCCGGGGGTGCGAAGGCTGCTTCCGTGGAAAAGTACTTTCTTCTTCTTCTTAGCGATTAGAGGAGGAGTTTGAGTGGTCCTGGTTCTCCCCCACTGTAAAGCCCTGTCCGCGGAACCGGCGTTGCTGCGGGGACTGTGGGGTCAGTGTACGCCGCAGGCTGGGCTCCGGCGCAGGGACACGTGTGTTCCTGTGAGCCTGGGTGGTCCCAGTGTCGCGGGGCACTTGCTTGGAGGGGAGGCATCCCTAAGCCCACTAGTGAGGGAGGCTTGGGAACTCCCGTTGCCACCGAGACCTCGGCTCGCACTTTCCTGCCGGCTCCGAGAGGGAGCATTCACATCTCTCCCTGGCACGCCGAAAGGGGGGGGTGAGTCAGGCAGATTCTCTGCTAGTGGCACACACACAATTATTTGCAATGGATTTGGAAGAGGAAGGCAGAGGTTAAGCTGGGATTCTCTTGGCCAGGGACAGCGTAGCTCTTGCTCAGGTACTGGGCAGCGTGTTCGTCTTGGCAAGGGCAGGTGATTTCTTTTTTCTTAAGTGCATTTTATCCAGCCGTTGCCAGTCCGTTAATAAGAGTCACCAAAGGAAGGCAGGAGTTGAGAACGACATCAGCAAACTGCAGCAAGCACCACAAGGAAAAAGTTATTAAAGAACAAAAGAAAAAACACAACAACCCTGAACTTGACCTGAAAGATGAAGGAGGCCGTTCTACCTCTGTTCTACCATCGTAAAGCATTCTTTCCTCAACTCCTTGTAAAACTTCTGTTTTTTCCACCCCTCATTCCTTCTCAAGGCCTTAGCTTCTCAGCATAATTGCCTGCAGCAAACTCTTTCCAGTCTTGACACTGAATAACAGTTAACTTTGGTTTACCCTCTCTAATTCTTTCCTCATTTCACTTCAATGCAGGGGAAAGTTACACCTAAAAAGAAATCATTACCCCTGGGCTGTAGTAAACACATATTGTCTTAAATCTTGGAACAGTTCCTTCTCTAAGAGACACTGCATTGTACTATATTTCCCTTTTTCCTTGAATTTGGGACTTGGAGTTAGAATATTACCTGAATTAAGTGCACACTGCATATCAAGTTTTATTTTTTCATTTTGGTTTGAGTAGATTCTTCACTGCCCTTAGAGCAGTATTCAGTAGCTTCTTGTAGACACTGTAATGTCTCTTGACAAGGTTTCTGGCTCAGAATCCTCCTCCTTGTTTTTCGCACATTAGCATTTAAATAATTTCCATGGTCTGATAGCACTTAGATTGAGGTTATTAGTAGAACTTCAATCAAAGGAAGCACGCCTGCTTATTTTTCTATAGCTTTAACAATTGAGGAAAAAACTTTCTTTCATTTTAAAGTTAAATATAGCGATAGCATTCTGTACTCTTTATATTAAATCTTGAAATTGAATAGTTTCAACTTTATCCCAGAATCTTTGGTAAGATAACACAAAAGTAGGTTTATAGTTGTGAGTATGCAAAACAGTTTTTTCTTGTCTTATTATTTATTATTAATTTTTGTATTGTATTATTTTATTATTTTACATATGAACAACTGTAAACCTAACCTGTCCATCCTGTATATGGATTGAGAGAGGAAAGTGGTATTCTAATGTTGTGGTCCATTCTGGAGAATTATTAGAAACCTTAAAAAAGATTTTACTTTTTTTTTTTTTAAATCCTCATCTGAGGTTATTCTTCCATTTATCTAGGGTGGGAGAAGGGGGGGCAGGAGAGAGAGAGACAGACAGACAGACAGACAGACATTGACATCAACATCAATGTGAAAGAGACACATCGACAGTTGCCTCCCGCAGGACCCTGACCAGGGCCTGGACAAACCACAACCGAGGTAAGTGCCCTTGACCAGAATTGAACCTGGTACTTACGCATTGGTCCCCAGGCTGACGCTCTAACTGCTGAGCCAAACCGGCCCGGGCAGAAACCTTAAAAAGGTTTTAAATAAAACTCATAGTATACTTTTTTTGGGGACTTTTAAAATAAAAATTAGGCCAGCTGGTGTGGCTCAGTGTTGGAGCATGGACCCATGCACCAAGAGGTCGCTGGTTTGATTCCTGGTCAGGGCACATGCCCACGTTGTGGGTGAAATCCCCAGTGGGGGGCATGCAGGAGGTGGGCAATCAGTGTTCTCTCTCATCGATGTTTCTATCTCTTTCTCCCTCTCCCTTTCTCTCTAAAATCAATAAAGAAAAAAAATCAAAATTAATGAAAATACAGCGAGAATGTCACTGTAGCCAAAGAGATTATCAGAATGTACTCTCAGTTTATAATGATGTATCTTTTAGTTCATTTTGCCAACATAAAATCACTTTTTAAAAATTAAATTTATTGGGGTAACATTGGTTGATAGGATTATATAGGTTTCAGGTGTACATTTCCATGATACAAAATCTGTATATTGCCCACCACCCAAAGTCAAATCATTTTGAATATTTGAATGTTAGTGTTATTATTTTAGTCTTTTAAATGATTAGCTACATTTACAACAATGTGTGAAAGGCATTCAAGGAATCATATTTAGAGAAAAAATGTGATAGAAATCAGATAACCTTTGGGACAACTTCCAGCAGGCTCTACTGGTAATTTCATTTTTTATTGAGCTCTGGCAAGTACAATTTTCAGGTTTTTGATCCCTTTTTCTGATAACAAGAGAGATTGTCTGGCTATAGCTTGCATCTTAAAGAAAAACACACGGAAATGAAATATGTGTTAGCTGGTGAGTCATGTAGATAATCAGGTTTGTTGGCCCACCTCTGAGGGCGCTGCAGGTGAGGACTACTGTGTTAGAGAAGAGAGCCCTGAGAGAATTCGCTGCTACTTGAGTGTGGCAGCAATGCACATCATTCTCCTTGTTTCTTGGAGTTTCTTTGTGTTTATTTTTAATAACATGAATGCAATAAAAGATCAGAGTTGATAGATATTAAGATTGGGAGTGGAAAGAACAAACTGAGAGGAGAAAACTCTAATGGCAATGAAAGTTTCTAAGTACTTTCTCCTTGATTGCTGAGATGGAAGGAATCAGGGGACATGATTTGATGGGACTAAGGAAGCTGTAAGCAGAACACGTCTCATTTCTCACTGTTGATGCAGTTTCTGAGGCCAACCTGTGATTTATGACATTTATGTATTTTGGGAGAGTCATTTCGCAAATGGGTAGGTTAGGAAAATCCAGGAAATTAATAAGACTTTACAAAACAAGATATGGCTACTTTTAGATTGGGGGGGGGTAGTGTAATGCAGGAATTTTAAAGGAAGAGAAGAATAATGTTTCTTTCATATAAGATTAGGGTTAAGTTGTATTCTAAATACATTTTGCCTTTCTTCCAATATCTAAACATTTGATATGTTTGTGTCACAAAATAGAAAATATGCTGGTGTCCTTCCAACATGAAGATGATATTTTATATCCTTTGTAGTATACACTGTTAGTTATTTTTTCAGCAGTGGAGATGAAATCTTCTAACCTACTCTTTTACTCAGTTTTTTCTCTGGTGTACGTTTACGTGCAGGTGTGTAAGTGTGTGTGCGCGTGCGCGTGCGCACACACACATACACACACACACCCATGTGTAGAGGTGGCTGATTTTATTTTCTCTAAAGCTGTATTTGTGACTGTCGTAATGATTTTGTGGCAAAGACATACCGCATTTCTCTCCTCTCAGATGTGCAGTGGCATTTCCAACCAGGCGTTGAAAAGAGAGCCAGCTACGAATGGTGGTGGGTTTATTTACCTGCCACGGCAAAGAAGAGAGAAAACTTTTGCTTTCTGTCTTCTTCATGAAGTTTACCATTATATTCCTTAGTGATGAGGTCTTACTGGCCTCTGAATTAAGTTATATGTTCAAAAAAGATGATGGTATGAGCAGTAATGGTGAAATATTGTACATCTGTAATTATTTTCATATAAGCTAAAACCTCATCTTGTTCTCTGAAAATTAAGTAGAGATTATTGTGCTCATTGAAGAGACGTGGACACAAAGGCACAGGGAACTCCGTATACTTTTCTTTTTTTTTAACATTTATTTTTCTGTCCTCACCCGAGGACATTTTTTCATTTTTTGTTCAGATAGAGTGGGAGGGAGGGAAGGAGGGAGGGGGAGAGAGAGAGAGAGAGAGAGAGAGAGAGAGAGACATCGACGTGAAAGGGACACATCAAATCAAGTGGTTGCCACCTGCATGACCCAACCAGGGCCGGGGACAAATTGCAACAGAGGTACGTGTCCTTAACAGGAACCGAACCTGAGTCTCTCTGGACTGCCGGCTGCCGCTCTAAATGCTGAGCCAAACCGGCCAGGGCTACTTTTCTTAAACAAAATGGAAAATTATTGCTGGAGGTTGGAATGAAGATTTGAGGTTTGAACTAGTGAATGACCGTCCTCAAAGGAATGAATGTTGTTTTAGTCACAGCTGAAGCCATCAAAGCAGATAAAAGCTAACATGATGGTTCACCTTCCCTGTTGGTAGTTCTGCTCAGCACCAGCCCCTACTTGCCTCAATGGTATTTCAGGTCCTGCAGCGCCAGGGGCCATTTTACTACTAATTTTCCATTTATGTGGACTGATTTTAGCTCTGGTCTTGAGAGCTAATTTTTATTTTTCATGGAGAATAAATACATAAAGAAGTTGCAGGAAATTAGGATGCTAAAGGAAATAAATAACTACAAACTGATACATCTCTCTGTAAACATTTTGTGGATTATTTTGATTATAAAAAAAGGGTATCCTTAGTGTAAATTGAATTTCTGCTTTAGAAACATTAAAAAGGTTTTAAATAAAACTCATAACATACTTTTTTGGGGGGCTTTTAACATCAAAATTAATAAAAATACAAAATGAGAAAAGAATATATTATCTTAAAACTGATACAGTGTTTGATGAAT